CCCACACGCTCACCTGTGTCCCTCCGTCCCGCAGGAGGAGCTGCAGCACGGACAAGTCCCCGGGCTCGGGCTCCGTGGGCTCCCCCGCGTCCCAGCGCAAGGACATCGGGCGCTCCGAGTCCCTGCGCGTCGTGTCCCGCGCCCACCGCATCTTCCGCCCCTCCGACCTCATCCACGGAGAGGTGCTGGGCAAGGGCTGCTTCGGCCAGGCCATCAAGGTGGGACGGGGGCACGGGCGTGGGGGTCTCGGCTCCCCAGGATGGAGGGGGTGGCTGAGTCCCTGCGCTCCCGGCCAGGTGACGCATCGGGAGACGGGCGAGGTGATGGTGATGAAGGAGCTGATCCGCTTTGACGAGGAGACTCAGAGGACCTTCCTCAAAGAGGTGAGGTCCCCATCCTTAATCCCCCAGGCTGGGGGGGACACGAGGGATGGGTCTGTCTGATCCTGGCCCCGCCTGGGCACAACCCCTTGATATGGGTGACCGAGCCCCATGGGTGCAGCTCTGTCCAGGGGGTGTGGGAGCCGTGGGGTGTCACGGACGGGGCTGGGGGGTCTCCTGCAGGTGAAGGTGATGCGCTGCCTGGAGCACCCCAATGTGCTCAAGTTCATCGGGGTGCTCTACAAGGAGAAGAGGCTCAACTTCATCACAGAGTACATCAAAGGGGGCACCTTGAGGAGCCTCATCAAGAGCATGGTGAGCACTGGCGGGGGGCAGCTTGGTCCCTCACCACCCCACAGCCCCAGTGGGGCTGGGGGACCCCTCTTCCTTTTCCATTCCCTGGCAAATTCCCCCTCCTGTCCCCCAGGACAGCCACTACCCCTGGAGCCAGCGGGTCAGCTTCGCCAAGGACATCGCTGCTGGCATGGTGGGTGCCACCATGGCATGGGTGGATGGGACAGGTGCTGGTGGGTGGGGGGACCACGGCGTGGGGGTGCCCCTGCTCTCAGCCCACCCTTCCCACAGGCCTACCTCCACTCCATGAACATCATCCACCGTGACCTCAACTCTCACAACTGCCTCGTGCGGGAGGTGAGTCCCACCTTGGTGCTGGCCTCCCCTGGCCTGGCTGGGGCTCTCGGTCCCCTGGTGCTCCCTCGGGCCTCACCCCTTCATGTGCCCCCCAGAACAAGAGTGTGGTGGTGGCTGACTTTGGGCTGGCTCGGCTGATGGTGGACGAGAAGAACCAGCCTGAACATCTCAAGAACCTGAAGAAACCGGACCGCAAGAAACGCTACACGGTGGTGGGGAACCCCTACTGGATGGCCCCCGAGATGATCAATGGTGAGGGGAATGTGGGCAGCCAGGGCTCTGTCCCCAGGCAGGGGATGCTTGGTGGGGCAGGGCCAGGACGTGTGACATGGCCCTGTGTCTGCAGGGAGGAGCTATGATGAGAAGGTGGACATCTTCTCCTTCGGCATCGTCCTGTGCGAGGCAAGTGCCCCTGGGGCTGGGGTCTGCCATGGGGGCCGGGGTCCTCATGGTGTTTGGGGTCACTCCCCCAAGGTCGGGGTGTCCCTCTTGGGGTTGGGTTGTTTACTCACCACCGTAGGGTTGGAGTCTGTTCCCTTGGGCTTGGAGTCCTCGTTGTGTTTGGGTTCCCCTCCAGGTTAAAGTTCTCGCCCTTGCAGTTGGGGCCTCTCCCCTTTGGTTAAGGGTCTCCCCACTGGGGTCTCCCCCTTGGGGTTGGGATTTCTTGATTGTGTTTGAGCTCCCTCCTGGGGCTTGGACATGTCCCCCTCGGTGCTTTGGGGTCCCGGTTGAGGGCTGAGGTGTCCCCTTGGTGCCGAGCCCGCCCTGCTGCCCGCAGATCATTGGCCGGGTGAGCGCTGACCCCGATTACCTGCCCCGCACCACCGACTTCGGCCTCAACGTCCGGGGCTTCCTGGAGCGCTACTGCCCCCCTGCCTGCCCCCCCAGCTTCTTCCCCATCGCCGTCTGCTGCTGCGACCTGGACGCCGAGAAGCGGTGGGTGATGGAGCCCCCCGGGGTCCGTGGGGCAGGGGACAGGGGGGGACAGAGCTGGCAGAGCTGCCACGTGTCCCCCTCGTCACTCAGGCCGTCCTTCGCCAAGCTGGAGCAGTGGCTGGAGACGCTGCGCATGCATCTGGAGATCCACCTGCCGCTGAGCTCGCAGCTGGAGCAGCTGGACCGAGCCTTCGGGGAGGCGCACCGGCGGGAGGGGGGCCCGCCCGCGCCCCCGCGGTAG